AAATGGAGTATTGAGTTTGAGCCCTCCACCTACAGTGTCCGTTCATTAGTACGAATCGGTCAACATACAAGTCTGGCCAGAACCCTGGAAAGACTTACTGTTGATATCTGCTGCATCTCAGAGACCCGCATACAGGATCCCGGTAAAGTGCTTATTTATCTGCAAGTTTCAATAGCGTGTACCACGTGCGCTTATCAGGGGACCCAGTGACACCAGATGAGGTTCACCTGGTGTCAGTGTAACCCTAAGCGCCAGAGCCTAACACGAATTACTCACCATGATTCCCATTAACAGTCATTTATGCACTGTGAGACTAGATCATATCAGAGAAAGACTAAACCGTCCAACTGTAACAAAAGATTACAGTTCGGATTTATTTCAAGATGGATTCCACTACCAGAGTCCAACCTGAAAAGGTCGGCAGTCAAGGCTAAGAATAGAGTTGACTAAGTGGTCAGTTGTGACTACATGGCTCCAAGTCAAACTATCAGAACCGTCTCCGGTGGATTCGCACAGATCACTCACTGAGAAATGCAGGTACAACCAGATGACGAGTCCCAAATAGGACGAAATGCGCATCCTGGATTCCACTGCTAGCCACCATCCACCAATCGTATGGTATTAAATCCTCTAAAAAGCCATTCGAAATCTAGACTAACTAATTCTTATGAACTAAAACACAGATTAGATGATTTAAAATTAGATAATGAAGAAAAAATGGTTAGTTTTGACATTATCAGTTTATATACACGTATACCAATAAATATGGCTATAGAGGCAGTCAGAAACGAACTCATTTCTGACCAAGAACTCGAATTTAGGACAAAAGTGCCACTCGAGGACATAATGTTGGGAGTGCAGCTATGCTTGACTTCCACAGTATTTAAATTCCAAGGGAAAATATACAAACACACTGAGGGAGTTCCCATGGGATCACCAATATCGCCGGTTGTAGCAGAAATATTCATGGATAGGTGGGAAAGTATAGCGATTGAAAAGTACACCCTACACGAAAGGTATGGTGGAGGTATGTAGATGACACATTCACTGTAATCAGAACACAAGATATAGATAGATTTTTCGAACACATCAACTTGAAGGTAGAGGCAATTCAATTCACTTATGAATTGGAAAGTCAGGAAGGAGAGCTTCCAATGTTAGATTGCAACGTAAAAAGGAAAGAAGATGGGAAGTTAGACACTAGTGTTTACAGAAAACCCACACATTCAAACAGATACTTGGACTTCAGATCATCCCATCCTATGTCAGTAAAAATAGGATTGGTAAAGTGTTTAACTGACAGAGCACAAAAACTAAGTAGTACTAAGGAAAATCTAAGACAAGAAATGATACACATAAAAGAAGCCTTGAAACTTAATAATTATCCGGACAAATTATTCAAGAAATATGTAAGGAAATCTAAAAATAAAATAAATAATGATAGTAGCAATAGTGATGATAATAATAATAACAATAATAATGATAACACTAATAATGATAATAATAATAATAATAATAATAGTGGTAATAATAATAATATTAATGACGACACCAACAATAAGGAATCTAAATCATCAACAGTAATTCCATACAAGGAAGGAACCTCGGAAGCCTTACGCAGAATTCTTAACAAGGCAGGAATAAAAGTGGCTGGCATTCAAACCCACAAACTCAATTAGAAACAAACTTTGTCAGTTAAAGGATACTGTGGAGCCTTTAAAACAAAACAATTTAGTTTATCTAATACCCTGCAATGATTGTGAGGTCAAATACATAGGTCAAACTAGTAGAACAGGGACAGTCGGACTAGCTGAACATAAAAACTTAGCAAAATCTAGATTGGTTGACCCAAATAAGATAAGAAATCTAGAGAATAGTTCAGCTATAGCACTACATGCAGTTACACACAACCACACAATAGGATGGGATAGAATGGCAGCTTTAAAATCTAAGGTCACAGGGTATAGGGAGAGATTGATAACAGAAGCTTTATTTATCGAATCAACTGCAAATACATGTAATAGGAATGACTCATCACCTGTCCCTGATATCTGGAAAATTCTACTACCCCTACGACAAATAGGAGAAAACAAAGAAAACTATAAAAATCAAGTTTCAAAGTCGAGTGATTACAATTGATATGATTATGAACAATAAATTTTGTTCGAAACGTCATCTGGTAAATAATACTGTTTCACTGTGTGATATATCTAATAAACTAACTAATATGGAATTGTTCACTGCAGATTGTCTGTTTGTTCTCGACATAGAACTTTGCACTGATGTGCAGCGGTTCAAGTCGCTACACTCCATGTAGCACACAAACCAAGAGAAGAAATTCATAATAGGGACAGTAAACAGAGGTGTGAGACAAAGGAATAGTAATAACGAAGAACAATATAGTTTCTTGGGAATCATAAGTCACAAGGAGTGGATGCATCTGCGCTATTTACAACGATTTTGAACCATATCACCAATTGTTTTTACTGTCCCGAGGACCCCAACCAGGAAGTCTACACCTTCCTACGTGGCTGGCTTAAACTAACTGTTGTGGATTTCAATGACTGGTGCCAAGTTTTTGTTTGACCGCCGTTAGCTTTTTTCCAGCCTGACCCTATGGCAGCTAACATTGTCCGTCGAGGAAGGCGATGACTAGACATAAGTTAGGACATATGTCCTAACCATCTCAGTCGATGTAATTTCACAGCCTAGTCGATTGATTTCCCCTCCCATCTACCTAGCACTCGACGCCTAACCTCAGTATTGCTCACCTTATTATACTACTTCACACAGGAAATAGAACTCAAGCACCTATGATCGAAGACAGCTAATCTTTTCATGTCTTCCACTCTCAATGGCCATGTCTCACAGCCATAAACGAGGACGGAGCGGACTGAGGAACAGTACACCCGCCCTTTGGTCGATAGCTGGATATCGCGTCTACGCCAGAGACGGTGAAAACTGGTATATGCAAAACTAGCCCTCTGTATTCGTGCTGAGATTTCGTCAGAGATCAACCCGTTGGGGCTGATGGTACTTTCCAAATAAGTGAAGCGGTCAACGTGCTCTACCACTACAGTACCTATTTCTAATCTAGGAGTCGGTGTAGTCCAGTCCTGTAACAACATCTTGCATTTGGAAGAAGCGAATCGCATGCCAAACATTCGTAGATTGCTGCTCAAGGTGTTTAGGAGACTATGCATTCTGTCAGAGTCGTCGCCTGGGACGACTTTATCGTCTGCATATTCTAAGTCAACAAGATTATTCCCTGGTAGTAAGTCAATCCCTGAGTCGCTGAAGTGAGTTAGGGTTAAGTCCATTAGTGCATCTATAATGAAGTTGAATAGAAATGGGGATCATAGGCATCCCTGACGGACACCACTTCAGACGACAACTCGCCGTAAGCCTCACCTGGCTGCATGAGTACGAGTAGAGTGCCTTGATCAGTCCAATGTATTTTCTCGTCATTCCCTTTACAGCGTCAATCAGTTCGATTGAGTTGGCAGAGATCCAATGGCTCTTACTAACATCAGGTTTCAGGTTATTAACAGCTTTTACAGCTGTATCTGCAGCTAACTGTATGTTGTGACAGGCTACCTCAGGGGAAGTCCTGCTGTCGACCTCAGAAACTCGTTTCGCTATTTCTTCCTTATATGGGGACTCAGTGTCTCGATCTAGTTGGGGACGTAATTGTTTCGCTGCCATCAATTTCTTATGTCCTTTTAGTCGTAAGCATAAACGTGCGCGAACCAGAGTGTGATCAGAGTGTACGCACGTGTTCCAGAAGGAGAGGCAGTCTTCTACTCACCCTCTCCAACGATACCCTATCGCTATGTGGTCTATCTGAGTCCAGCGTTGACTTGGTGATGGAGGTCGCCAGGTTACGCAGTGTCTCTCTTTGTGCCTAAAGTTAGTGTTGACTAGGAACAGATGATTATCTGAGCAAAACTGCTGAAGACGATCACCGTTGTCGGCAGGGAACTACTACCTACATACTTCTCAGTCCAGCATAACTTCCCACTTGGGCATTGAAGTCGCCTGCTAAAACAACTATATCTGAACGTTTTGCTTTTTGCAGTAGATTAAACAGTTTCTGGTAGAAGTCATCCTTTAGTTCATCCGAACTGCAGTCTGTTGGGACGTAAGCGGAAACTATGAAAAAACGACGATGGGTAACCCCTCCTTCCTTCATCTAACGGATGCGTTCAGATGGACCTCACACATACGACTATCTACTGGGACCCAGTCAAGAAGTGATTTCTCTGCCCTAACACTCAATGCTATCCCTACACCTGAGAGTCCTCGAAAACTAGCTGAGGGGGCTCCCAACAACCTTTAAGTGAATTTCGCAGATTCACCTTGTTGGCCGGTGGAGTTAAGTGAATGACCACACTCTGGTCTTGTGTGGGTGTATATATATGAAACACAACATACATCCATGGCTCGAGATGCTAGAGTTCTAGCTAGTGATGTCTGTTGTCCGATTTGGCAGAGGAGCCTGACGTTGAATGCTCCTATATGATGTTGTCGACGTGGCTTTAAGAGGCAGTCCGGGGTGTTTCTCTGGCTCTCGTCGTTATTCGTGATCACAGAATGAAGTGAAGATGTTTCCCTAGACTGAAGAATAAAACTGACTGTGGTAGGGGAATAAGATGCTGAAGGTGATGTGGGTAGAGGAGAATGATGCCCAGGAAGGCTTCGTGTGCTTTTGGAAGTGTGTGGGCGGTTGTTACTTCCCGGCTGCCCACACCATGGAAGTTGCTTGATTTTTCGGGTACCTGAGACAGAGAGGGTTAGTGTTGTGTGACCACAGAGCCCAGGGGACAACTGCTTGAGGCCGGTCACACACGGCATGTATGAACTGGTTTCTTGGTTTGGTTCCGTATTTGTAAACATACTGCCGGTTAAGGACCACCGTAGGGTAAGTCGGGATGTACAATTTCCGGGGTCCCCCTTTTCTAACCCGCTCCCTCCAGAGTGTAGAGACAGCATAGCTGGCATGCTGGTCATCTGAGGGAAACACCGCACTGCTGTTACGCCTCTGTTCCCCAGCAGTACAACTTCGTTCACAGACCCCCAGCATAGTGTAAGAACGATTCTTACACTGTGTCTGTAATTGCTTTTAGTCTAATCGCTATCATAACAACCTTCCTGGCATGGTAGGACCTGCAGGAACATTGGTTCCAGCCATTGTAGCTTGTTGGGTCATCGCAATGTGCAAGCCCGACCACCACGTCAAGGTAGAAGCTATCGGTATGGACTCCAGATTACACGGTTACTGATACACAATAAACATTGAGAATTTTGAGTACATAATCGTGCATACAATAAATAGAACTTTGATAAACACCCTAAAAGACATCCCAGGATTAAAATCAAGCTTATACAAAGATCAGAAGAAACACTAGTGTTAAAGACCAACAAATCAAATAACTGGATATATAATTTTTCTAATATTCTTATATAAGAAGTAAACAGTTGTAAGGAAATAATCTGCAATATTTACTCAGTCCGGGGGTTTATGGAAGTTTACCACAGAAATTCTGGATCATTCCTTTGAGCCCAAAAGTCACTCTTTTTGAAGACCGCCACTTCGGTTTCATGCACTAAAATAAGAACATTGAAAATGCAAGCATTAGAATTGCCATTCACTACTTAGTGACAAAAATTTCATATATATATATATATATCAGCAATTTCGAACTGTATACGTCCTAGTCATACTAGATATTACTATCTCAATTGGGATATCAAGAGGTTAGTTATAACTTAAGACTTTGAGTCCAGACTGAATTATTGATTCAACAGTGTTTGAACAAACGTTAAACTTGAATCGTTGATACTTGGCCTACATTTTTGCAAAAAGGTGCACCTGTATGTTTGTCTGCTCAAAGTGTATTGAGGTCACATTTTCACGCTTTACTAACTATCCTATTTAAATGAATTAAAAAAGAATATATAGAATTAGCCGAAAAGAGACTCTTCGCTGAACTGCGTGTTTTGTTTTCATTAATGCCTCGATGGGGATTATCCATTTAAAAGTCAATCTGAACGAAGAATATCCATTTCAATCACTTCTTTCCAGGTTCTTGCTTGCTAATGACTTGCTACAGGACGGAATTACTTGGAGTCCTAATGAGAAGTCGTGACCAGTGAGGTACATTATTCAGTTGAGTGTGAGGATGGATTTTCCGCCGATAATATTGGTTGGTGGTCGCACCAAATCATGTATTCATAGAAGTAAGAATTCATAGACCCTTAATTCAGGCCCCACTGTATGAATGATATACGAGCTTGCCTTGTAACCGGGGGGTCCCGGGTCCGAACCCCCAATGGATGCGTACTGCCTAGGATTCCCAAACTAGGAAACACCTCTTCAGTACACGCTAATTCACTAATGTACCTCTAGTGGAAACCATCGATTATATCTGAGAACAGTTGATAGAAAGGAAATTGTGCACTGATATTCCTATTAGTAATCTGAAACAACTACTAGTTAAATGTACAACAAAATTTGTACAACAAATGTCCAGTTCTTGTTCAATGGTGAAATGTACAGATAATTTGATGGAGTGGCCATGCGATCCCCACTAGGATCTATTTTCGCGAACATATTTCTAGCAAAACTAGAAAATAGTCCTTTGATAAGTGAAACAGCTTAAATGGAAATGTGTTGTCGTTACATGGATGACACTTTTTTAATATACGATGAAGGGTTAAGTAGTGATTTGATTTTCGGCAACTTCAATAATGCTCACCCAGCAAACCATTTGATCTACGAGGGATATTACCACGATTCTCTGCACTTCCTCGACGTCCTACTGAGGAGAAGAGAGGATGGTTCCGTCTAAAGGAACATATCTAGATAGCTAGAGACCAAAGTTCAGTACATACACTTTCTAAACTTCGTATCGATGAAATACTACCGTAATCTGACCAAGTGCTTAGCACTTAGTTTGAGATCCGTTTGTTCCGAAGACTGTGTAGAGAAAGAACTACAGGTGATCCCACACATTCTGAGCGAGAACGGATATCCAGAGAAGTTCATTAAAGCCAACATAGGTTACAATATTCGTAAACATAAACTGGCGACGGTGGAGAAAAAGCCTCTGTTTTTACGTCGCCAATTCAAGGGAGATACTCCTGCGGAGATTCTATCGCAACGTTTAACCAGGGCGATAAAGAGAACTTTCTACTCTACACGTATGTTCCTATCTTTCAGTATCCGTCCAGTGTTCACTCAGCAACTGAAAGATATCTTACCTAACCTTAGCTCTTCTTCATGCATATACTATTTCATTTGTTCCTGTGGTTCCAAGTTATATAGGGCCGCACGATTAGGTAGGTTCGTCTAAGGGTTCGAGAACATTACCACCTTGGTACATAAAGGGGAAAATTAAGTGCACAAAAAGCTCGATCCTGTCACACTTGGTTGATACTAGACATCGATGTCAACACAGCTTTCAGGGTTATATACTGAATTCCGAAGTCGTTATCACGTACAGTTCGCTTACGTCTCCTACACATAGCTGAAGCTGTTGCAATAAGATCGACTAAATCGGAACTTTGTATCCAAAAAGGACACATCCAGACGCTGTTCCTATCGTGGCCAAACTCGGATTAGTGATTCTTCTTCTCACCAAGAGTACTTCTTCCCCTTAAACCTCTTGGCATTTTTCTTTGCTTATTATTACAATTATTATTATTCGTCATAATTTATACCCTCCATCCAAACATCTCTCAATACTATCGAATTTCCCGTTTATACTATCCGGGCCTATTATTAGTGATATTACCTCTTTTCTCAATATATGCCTCCATCTGTTTCCCTTCACGCATTTGTTATTTCATTATGAGCCCCTCATTGCAGTCCTACAATCCCTCCTTTAATACATACTACTAAGTACTAGCCACTCACTTTTAATATGCTTGGACTGACGTTATTCTACGAATCTATTATGACTAATCACCATCATTGTCTCCCATTTCGCAATATTTTGTAACCAATTTCTGCCTAGCACGTTTGTCACACAAATACTACTTATTTTGACCCCCCAGAACTGATGTTATTATTCTACGTAAAAAATATATCCACCACATAACTGGCTATTATTGTAACCACAATAAATATTATAGTTTACAATTATAAGAACTTGAAGAGAAATTATTGAGAAGCATATTCTTCATCCAAATTGACTATTAATTCATGTTATGAGAATATTTCACACTACTAAATCAAAACCTTCAGTTTGACGGAGTTCACACAGTCATCCTCGATCTGAGTGATTGAACATAAACCTGATTCACGCTATATCTTAACTATAGATTTTCTTATTACTGTCACTTTCCTGCAAAAAGCCCCTTCAAACTGACTAACTCAATAAGGTGTGGGCGTTATTTTCCCCTAGGCTACTGCTGATCTCACTTCGGTTAAACAGACAGTCATTGTGAATTCAGCCCATTGTATTCGTTTTGAGGGCTAGTGCGTCGGTGGCACAGTGGTTAGGACTCTCGCCGACCATGCACATGGTCCGGGGTTCGAGCCCGCACCGACGCACATCTGATATCTATGGTCGGCCTGCAAAATTTGGGCTACCGATATCCATGCTGACAATTCCATACTTGTACCAAAAATACAGTGTGGAATCAAGCTGTAAATCAAAAAAAAAAAATAGTTATTAGCAGGTCCCGCATATTGCACGTTGACTGAGATGATGATTAGTGACTAATATATCCCAGTTCAATGCACACGAAAAATTTACAGTCACCTTTGAAAACCTCGATGTTTTATACTTCAAGAACGCAATCGCTATTTCCGCAATGTATCGAAATAAATAATTTCGAATCATAAGGTTAAACAGTTAACCAAAATTATATATGTCAAAACAAGGTTCTCCTTAAACAGTTCGAAACAGTTTCGGTATAATAAGTGTTTGTATTTCCCAATGAATGAAAAACAAGATAACATTGTTTTACTGATGTTTCGCTATTTTAGCGCTAACAGCTCTATCGAAGTGTTATTAAGTCAGAATTTACAAAATTTCAGCTTATGTATAACAACTTAATCATCGTTCATCAGCATGGGGTAATTTTTGCGTTGTCAAGTTGGCCAATCGGTAAAGATAACAAAACTAGGTGTAGATTGTCGGATTCGATAAGTGTGTACAGTCATAAAAGCAGCGTGTGTTTACATAATGAAATTACTTGTCACAATCGTGTTGATTTTGTCACTTCATGGGGAAGGAAGGTGTTGTAGCCAGGTCAAATTCTGTTTTAGTCCATCATTTCCATAGAATCAAGCCAGAAATTTGATTTTGATAATATTGAAATCATCATCCAGAAAAATTTCAGAAATCAAAAAAAGGTTCTAATATCGAAAGCACATCATATTAAGTGGAATCCAAATTGTCTGAATAGGAATGATGGACTAAAACAGAATTTGACCTGGCTACAACACCTTCCTTCCCCATGAAGTGACAAAATCAACACGATTGTGACAAGTAATTTCATTATGTAAACACACGCTGCTTTTATGACTGTACACACTTATCGAATCCGACAATCTACACCTAGTTTTGTTATCTTTACCGATTGGCCAACTTGACAACGCAAAAATTACCCCATGCTGATGAACGATGATTAAGTTGTTATACATAAGCTGAAATTTTGTAAATTCTGACTTAATAACACTTCGATAGAGCTGTTAGCGCTAAAATAGCGAAACATCAGTAAAACAATGTTATCTTGTTTTTCATTCATTGTGAACTACAAACACTTTTATTATAATGAGTTAACTAAAATATATGTGCAGGTGATACTGTCTTATCAAAGTGATAGTCATAAGCTGGTGATTACCACATACCTATTCCAAGAGACTGTATAGTCTCTGTAGAATTGTCTGAAATAGGATCACCATCTACGTCGATCAACAGTTCACCTGACTAAAACAGAGTAGTAACAGGAACGTTACAAGCCAAATATCTCACCTTCATTGCGAAAGCTTTGTGACGAACCTTCAGCGCATCTTTGAGAAGACGTAAGGATATGTAGTGAATAAGGATGAATTAAAATTGGCTATAATTTATTTGTGAAACAGATTAAATGTGGGGACAAACATTCAAATTTAATAGAAATGAAGAGCACTAAATAATTTAACTAGTGTGAGGTGTCCGCGACTTTTACTAAATCTTGTCTGATATTTGAAAAATATAACTATTCGGATAATTGAAAATAACGACTGCTGGTTTTTACTGTACATAATAGTTTCTCACTATTTGATGGAAAGAGAACATGTAATTAGTGTATTTACTCTTCGACAGATTCTAGAACATAGACACACTTTTCGGCGTCCAACAATTGTCATATTTCTTGACTTGAAGGCGGCCTTCGACTCCGTGGATCGAAAGGTACTATGGCAATGTCTGACTGTGAAGGGAGTGCCAAGAAAGTACATTGCACTAATTAAGGCACTCTATTCAAACTCATATAGTCGTGTAAGGGCTTATGGGGAATTGTCATCTGAATTGGTAACAACCAGTGGTGTCCGACAGGGATGTCCACTTTCCCCATTTCTGTTTAACTTCATCATAGATATGCTGATGGAAGTATCCTTAACTGAACGTAACGACTTAGGAATCGACTTGTTACCAGGGAATAGTCTTATGGACTTGGAATATGCAGATGACATAGTCCTGTTAGGGGAGGATGGTGACAAAATGCAGAGTCTTCTGAACACCTTGAGCAGCAATCTTCGTATGTTTAGCATGCGATTCGCCCCTGCAAAATGCAAGATGCTGCTACAGGACTGGACTACGTCAACTCCTAGCTTAGTGATAGGGAGTGAAGTGATAGAACATGTTGACCACTTCACCTATTTGGGAAGTTGCATTAGCACCAACGGACTGATTGGCGATGAAATCTCAGCACGGATCCAAAAAGCTCGAGCTGCTTTCGCTGACTTACACCATCTCTGGCGTAGGCGTGACATCCGGCCATCAACCAAGGGACGTGTGTACTGCTCAGCAGTTCGCTCCGTCCTTCTCTATGGCTCTGAAACATGGCCAATACGAGTTGAAGACATGAAAAGGTTGACTGCTTTTGATCATAGATGTCTGCGATCTCTGTCTCACATTAGGTGGTTTAATAGGGTAAGTAATGTTGACGTTAGGCGTAGAGTGTTGGGTAAAGAGGGAAAATCAATCGACGAGGCTATAAAGTTACATAGACTGAGATGGCTAGGTCACGTGCTGCGCATGCCTAACCATCGCCTCCCCCCGACGGGAATTGCTAGCTGATATAGGTGCGTGCAGGTTGGAAAAGAGCCAGTGGTGGCTAAACAAAAACATGGCATCAATCCATGAAATCCTTGACAGTTAAACTGAGTCAGGTAGGGAGGGAGATGCAGACTTCCAGGTTTGGGCCCTCGAGACTGACTCTAAGAATCAATGGCTGGAGACAATAGGTGGTGACATGGCTCAAAATCGTTGTCAATGGCGCAGATGTATTCAGTCTCTGTAATCTTTCATATTCCTTTCTACCATTACCCATTCTGTTTCACCCTTATATTTGTCAGACTGTATTGATTCTCTTCACTCATCTTCTTGTCTACCTCTGTGTGCTATTTGGAACGTGGCAACTGGAACTGCTGCACTTCGGTGCCAAGTTCTATGTTGAATCCAGACAGACAGAGACAGAATTAGTGTATTCAAAACCTAAATGAAATTCGCTTTCTACATTTTGCGAAATCAAGCAGCCAATATATCGAAGACAAAGGATAATATACTAACACCTAGTGATTTTCAACAAGCACTACCTAAGCTAAACACTTAAGCTTAAACACTTATTTTTGCACTCCAAGACGAATGCTTCATTTAAATAAACTTTGTTTTAATAACCACTAGAGTTAACTTTAAGTACCATCACAATAAAACCCTGAGAGGAACAACTTAAAATCAAACACTTCTGTTATCAAAGGTTATTATGGAGATATCCTGATGTATAACTAGTAATATCCCACCTAAAAAGTAAATAGGAACATAAAACAGCAATATTGGCTATTCTGAAGAATGAGAGAGTGGCAAAACTGGTAGGATGTGATAAGGTTAGAAAAAACGTATACCCAAAACAACCATAAACTGAATATTAGTCGTAAACGTTAACAAACTAATCACTAATGCAGATGTGGCTGCACAAAGTCGTTATTTATATTTAAACCCAAGCTAACTTGACGTGGTAGTAGGGTTTGAATATCGCAATGACTCAACACTAGTTGGAACTACTGTTCCTGTAGGTCCTACCGTGCCAGGAAGGTTGTTAGACTAAAAGCAGTTACCAGCATAGTGTAAGATTTTTTACGTCCCCAAATAGATCAGGACACCGAGTTCCTATTTAAAGAAATAGCAAAACAAGTATCTGTGGTTGACAGTAAGAATCCTGGAACAATATACAATTAGCGGTAGACGCAGCTGTGATTAACATAAAACCAAAAGTTAGTAAGAGTCAGTGGATCTTTACAACTACATCCGAACTGTTTAGTGCAAGAATACTGGCGAGCTCCGTACATGTTGAGGACCGAAAGCTACTAAAACATAAACTAACAAGTCTTCGCAACGACCATGAACAGTGGTGGACGACAAAAGAAAAAGCGACTGAAAAGGCATCGGCGATAGGTAACACCAGACAACTATTCAGACATATCAGGGAAACAAGCAGCGAAAGGCAAATGATAATTGAAACAATCTGAGAAAAATGTCCCCATAGTTAGCTCTCAGGATAGACGACTGAAACTTTGAAAAGAAAACTTCGAGAACAATTTAATTGGCCGACAGCTACGCTCAACTTAGCTAGCATCCCACACCACACCACACCACACTGGTTCACCATACCCAACTGAGGTTACAAACGCTGTCACTAGTCTGAAACGAGGCCAAGCAGAGACCTGGTGAAATGACTACAAAATTGTCTTAGGACGGCAGACACTTAACTGCCTACCTTAACGAAGACATTAGGGAGCGTTTTGCAATCACCGATAGTCCAGTCGCGTTGGTGAAAGTCATTCGTTATTCCAATATACAAGAAGTGAGACTAGACATCCTGTTATACTTCAATAAAGCAAGAACAACAGTTTTTGCAGACTAAAATAGTACCGCTTCGTTGGCTTCTTATTAGCTGCTAACAGGCCAAAGTCATTATTAAGTATCTTCATGAGATGGCGAGGAAAGCAGTCACTACGTTCCTGCAAATTACCACCCTCTCAAAAATCTTCGACGTATTACAAAATCGCATATTGCATCAACAGAGTCTCTTATTTCAAAATTGAGAACTGAAGCCCGATCATTCGATGGTATCGTCAACGATTTGAATATAGTATGCCGGATCAAATTCATCAATTTCATTCAAGAGCTTCAAAAGAAAACATGTGCAAATCTTTGCAAAAGTGCCAAAATCCGTGACAAAGGAGAAACTGTATGACGTCTTCCCAGGAAATCCTGAGGAGTTTATCTGTAATCTGTTGAGTATGAAGTAAAATTGCATTGAAATGGAAGAGCTTTCCCTTGGATTTAACTTTCATATCCCGAATAACTTTGTCAAAAAAACCGATGTCGTAGTTCAATTCGAAAACTTATTATATCAGCTGAATGACCTTATTCCAGTTGATGAGAACGAGAGCTGGTTCAAATCTAAGTTGTTCGACGTTGCAAATCAATAACTCATTTCATCAACGTCATATACCAAAATCCTCTCTGAAGAGCATCAAAGAGCATTGAAAGCTCCCAAAAACAATGACAAAATTGTAATGTTGCGACCTGACAAAGGCTCAGGAGCACTGCTGATGGACAAAGATGACATCACAAAGATGAAAACTACGTTAAATGACCCGTTGAGGTTTAAAGTTGACGACTTCCAGAAAAATAAGACAGATGCAGTTGTAAAACGTATCACATACGTACTGAGAGAGCTTCTAAAGAAGAAATTGACATCAATACGTACAATTATTTGAAACCCCGAGGGTCTCGTTTGACGCACATGTATGGCCTTCCAAAAGCCCGCAAAAGCAAGTCCCCCTGAGACTTATACTTCAATGATTAAATCGCCTCAACATAAGGTTGCTTGTGTTGGCCTGCGGAGAAGTTGGGACCCATTCGTTAACGGCTAGTCGTGCACACCATTAGAGAATCATTTCATTTCGCCGAAAGTATGAACCACATGAACGTTTCAAATAATATCATAGTGTCATTTAATGCAACCTCCTTGTCCGCAATGATTCCAATCAATGAAACTATTGAGATCATTTGTCAGCAGTCTGATCTTCTCCCAGAGTCGGATTTCAAACGCCTACCGCTAATGTGTTCCATGGATGTGCGATTCCAGTTTGAGAACACTCCTTAAGGTCAAATAGATGGTGTAGCTATGGGCAGTCTACTTAGCCCTGTTTTAGCTGATATATTCATGCCCAACCTTGAAAGAGCAAAGTTGAAGCATCCAATCGACCAAACAACTTATTTTTTTATTATAGCTTGATCCCATACCGTATTTTTCATATAAGTATGGAATTTCCAGCATGTGATATCGGTAGCCCAAATTTTACAGGCCGACCAATTGATATCAGGTGTGCGTCGGTAGAGGATCGAACCTCGGACCATTTGCATGGTCGGCGAGTCCTAACCGCTGTGCAACCGTCAACATGTCGACGACACATTTGTAGTGTGCAACAATGAAAGTCATGCTTCCTCCCTACTGAGATTATTCAATAACGCACATATCAATATTGAAATGAACATGAAAGTGATGGAAAGTTTCATTTCCTCGACATTGCCATACAACCCCAAGAAGATGGTTGTCTTCAGAAGTCAATTTACCGAAATCCTTTATGGAAAGGACAGTACCTACAAGTACGGAAGATCTGAAGGCGCAAATGTCAAGCAAACCACAGTGGAAAAAAGCTCATCTACATTCAACTTGATTTTAAAGGTGGAAATATTGCAGCAACTGTCAACAGAAGATTGAAGGCGCCACTAGGCAGAGCCTATCCTGCAGCTAAGCTGGTTCCCATCTATCGAACAACTTGTCCTTTGGTGCAATCGAAAATCAACAGATATCCTTCTCATGTTAACTCCAACGGTACATACACATTTACGTGTATCTGTGGGATACGTCGCATTGGAAGAACAGAAAGAAGGGCATACCTGCGATTTTCTGAACATGTACCAAAAATCCTACGTCTTTAGGGAACAAATGCTTTAAGCAGTGCCATCGTCAGGCATCTCATTGACACGGACCATGAGGTGGACGTCGCAAGATCGTTCAAAATTGCCGAAGCAATCTCCCCATTTCTATTCTGTTTACCTTATATCTCTGTTTATTATCTGCCTTTGGAGTCTCTCTTTACTCTCTTATCTTAGTGTGTGCCAAATGGAGAGTTGTAACTCGAACTGTTGCATATCTGCGTTGGAACCAGTCAATCTGTTAGTAAGTTTATATTTAAAATCGATACACGAAAACAATAATATTAATAAGTGTGATTAAGACTGTGTACGGTATAGCATAGTATCAAAAAATGTGTAGTGAAAATTCATACACAATGACAATGAGAGCAAATGCATTCAAATTTGCAGAATGCTAATTTACAGCTGCCTGGACATGTCTTATAAAGTAATAACAACGTATACAGAAGGCCAACATATTTGCAAAAGCAACCTAATCTCTCTCTCAAGCTTTAAATAAGACAAGTTAAAAAAGATATACTTTCACTTACCATAGGAATAACTCTTGAAAGGTGATGGCGCAGCAGAATTTTTCAACTCTAATTGTGATAATTCAAACTATTTCTGAAGAAGAACCAATTACCATGATGTATACGATCAAATAATTCTCTAACAGTGGCTGATTGGGGAATGTTTTTCAAAGGTATGTAGAACGTCGTGCGGTATTTAAAAGAGCGAATAAAAGTAACTGGAACAGTGATCCCCTGATCCATTAGTGAATTTAAACTCGAAGAAACACTATAAAAATGCAATTATACCTTCAAGTAATATTTAGTAAAAAGGTGACTGAGTTATAAGCGACAGCAACAATCGACAAATGAAACCACCATTGGCAAGAAAGGCAAAATAATAGAGGCAGCGGAAAGTCTAGGAAAGTAATGGTGATGGTGAGAAAAATCGAGAATCTTCGAGACCGTTGTGCGAAAATTTTCATATGTTTATCATTAGGCGACTAATTAGACTATTAAATTTTATACTGCAACGACTATAAGAAACTTTTAAAACATTAAGTTGATGGTATGCGAACATGAAACCACAATGCTAACCTATTTTCCATAAAAATATACTTCACTTGCTAACAATAACGAATATATAAAGGACCATTAAGACGTACTGCATATGATGACTTTATAAAAGTCCCACTTCGCTATTGTCAGTCCCGTGGTATATGTGAAAGACAGCTTTGGTTCCGAAACAGAACCAAGCGTATCCCTAAGTGAAACCTTTAAGTTATGCATACGTCTACCGACCATTTTCGTGGTCTGAAGAATAAAAGGTGTCCCAATACAACTTGCAACTGATCTCTAAACTTATGACTTTTTGTTTAATGAAGTCTAGAAGACTTCAAAAATGACTAGACGGATCCTTTCGGCTTCACTTCTTCGGTGACGTACTTTAATGAATCCATATCGTAAACTTCTATGCCAGACTATACAATGCTTCGTGTGTCACTTCGTACTCTGCTACAAATTTGTCAGATTTGAGCTTGACACTGCGTAAAAAGTAGGTGACTAAACCATAGAAGCCCAAAACGAGACCATCTGATGAACGGATCAATGACCTTGGGCAGCTGTCAAATGAGTTCTTATTATGTAGGGGGAATTATGTATGCTGCACACGAATTACGTGGCAATCCAAATCTAGTATTTAACCACTGCTCAGGCAGCAGGCCCACTGGAAGGCAGAAGACGCATAGCCAACTATCATCCAAGGGCTACATTCACCACGTGGTCAGCCATACAGACAATTTAGATTCAGATGATAAGGATAGAAGGCTCTTGTCGCCTGTGTTAATCCTTGCAAAGTATATCTCTGCAGAGATCTAACTTCTCTTTGAAAGCGTTCACCGATGGAGCTGATACTACTGAATCAGGTAAGGAATTCCAATCGTTGACAACTCTGTGAGAGAATCTAAATTCTGCACGTATTTTAATCGTCCTCGGTTTGAGCACCTTTTTGCGGTGACCCCGTAAATGTATCCTAGAAGGGAAGAATAGGTTAGAAAGGTCAGTTCCTAAATCACCCTTAAGTATACGGTATGCTAAAATTAAGTCGCCTCTCTTCCTTCGGTATGATAACGGGAAGAGATTTAAATGCTCCATCCTCTTATCATAAGGAAGGTGTGAGATACCACTAACTAATTTTGTTCCTACTCTCTGTACTCTTTCCAGAATATGTGCTTCCTTTTTGAAACATGGACTCGTCGCTTGTATGCAGTATTCTAGATGAGGCCTGACATATGTTGCGTAGAGTATTTGGAACATGCCCTCGTCTAATCGTTTGAAAGCCCTTCGAATTGCCCATAGCATTCGAAAAGCTTTAGCTGCGGCTGCATTGCGATTTGCAGTTGTTTCCAAATCATTGCTGACAATGATTCCTAGGTCCTTCTGTTCGTTAACATCAGGTAGTTCTGCGTCCCCTAGGGAGTACGACACATAAGACTTCTGACCCAAGTGCATTACCGCGCCTTTCCTAACATTCATTTCCAAACTCCATAGGCTTGACCACTCAGCTAATTTATCCAGATCAGTTTGTAGGGCCGACCTATCCTCGTTATCATTTACAGTCTTCCATATCTTAATGTCATCTGCAAATAATAATGATGAAGAAAGAATCCCTGGTAATTCGTTAACGTATAATAGGAATAGCAAGGGACCTAATACAGTTCCCTGGGGCACTCCACTGGATACTGCTTTCCATCCTGATAGTACACCGTTAACTCTAACCTTCTGCCTTCTATCCATTAAGTAATCTCTAAACCACTCACATAGGCATTGGTCTAGTCCGAAACCTTTCAGTTTACTAAGGAGACCTAAGTGGGATACTTTGTCGAACGCCTTGCTAAGATCAATAAAAACCACGTCCAGCAGATGGTTCCTATCTTTAATCTTTTCGATCGGAGTCATACAAATTCCATCGAAAGTTTCCAGAGTCAACTAAAGGGAATAGCGAAGAGGCGGATAAGTCAAGAAACACGATGATCTACAGTAATCTCGACGAATTTATGCACCGAAACTGGTCCAACTACGAAGAATCCTATATGAAGCTGGGGAGTTTTCTCGTAACATATATACAAGACAATTTATTATACAACTACTTTTTATCACTGCATTAATTGCATATTAACTATAGTTAATATGCAAGTCACCATATATGGTGACTATCGCCAAGCAATGACCTGAAATAGAACAAAACGCACGTCAGCACAGTGGTCAAACAAGTGTCGCGTGCTAGTAAGAACGAAGGCTCAAGGTCAAGGATTGGAGGACCGAGTCCTGAGCGCCACGCAACGAACCTGAAATTGGACAAGCATATAGTTTAAAGGCCAGGAAACCTCCGAACTCACCACGCCTCGGCAGCCTGTAGGACAGCCTGTAGGGCAGCCTGTCGACGGACGTAATTTTGAGTGACCGCGAATGAGATAAACAAGCGATTCGCTCGCTTGTGATTGGCCAGTTTGTCATTCGAGTTGAGGTAATTTCAAACATCATTTTGCTGCTTGGTTAAGTCCTGAATTTCCGTGAGCGTTTTATCAAACTGGAGAGATAACTGACAACACAAATGATTACAGCTCAGGAAAGAAATGATATAGCAATGGATTTATTTGCTGAATTCAACGAATTCATGCCAAATTACTATCTAAGGACTTCTCAGGAGTATCAAGAATGCAAACAATGTCCTGAAGAGGTAATAACTTCACGCAACTTCAATTATCGCTTGACCATTATTTTCAGAGATCCTTAAATAAGTATAATATACACAGTGGTCTGGCTAATCATGATAAAAATGGCATGGTTGATGCAGCATATACGTATACTTTTGTATACGTAGGTAAACCTAGATGAACTGTGTTCTTGTCACGAAGATCGGAAAGCAGGTACCAGATGTCTCAGTAAGCAGTGTAATACATGTAAGTTACATGTTTTTATTTGACATAAACTGAATCTCCACTCACTTTCAGAATTAATCTTAAATTCAGTTGGAATAAGCTTGTTGAGCACATCAGTATTGAGAGAATACAGTGAAAGTAAGTAAACACATGCTTCTTAAGATTAAGTGATACATTTATTTGATATGATTGTATTATTGTTAGTTGTCTATCTAAGTTAATGTTGAATTCGTTGCGATAATAATACCTATTATTGTTTTTATAGTCACTATGATCATGAATGTTATTATTATTGCTGTCAAGACCTATTATTTGTCATAAAATTGTCATTTTTGCTAAAATATTTGTACAAGCTTTGGAAACTACTGCATATTTTGTCGTTAAATAATTTTATCATTTCATGATGCTTCGATGGACCTACTAGATATTGACAAACGATAAGTTGCGAAGTCCCTTAAGTTTAGTGAAAACTATTGGGCTACTTATACATATATTGCTTGTAAAGTGATTATTCGTAAATGCTTATCAGGAAAATTTTTTATTCAGATCATACATGTAATACCCAAGTTAATTATGCTTTTCTTAAACCTTTTCAGACTTATGGAAAAACATATATGTGCCGTGTACGCAGATGGAACTTACTGACGGTAACAGAGGACTACTCATCTGAATTATCTGTACATTTGAAATCTGATTTGTGTTTAATAAACAATTTTCAATGAATCTGTCTTCCTTCTGTTGTAATGCGATTGTGTTCCAGTAACATAAGTAGCACGTGCTAAGTTAGAAGTTGAGGGTAAACTGTTAGGAGTAAATACGGCGTCTGGAAAACTTTTGTTTACGTGATTATATGAGCAGATAGCAACGTATCGTGTTCTTTGGCTGAGGACCCTAGGCATTCTGTTTTTAATTATTACGATAACCGTAGTTGCACTGAGTCATACATCTAACAGCATAGGTATAGTCTCTCCTTATGGTATACTGCGGCATGCAGAAATCACAAGCAAACTATCTCAGGTAGATTTACTCTTACTTTGTGACTATGAATCGCGAATCAGTATATGTATTCTGCTAAGACGACATATAACTCGAAACGCTTTATAATCGCAAGAGCTCTTCTACGGTTTAGGCATATTTACTTTATTTGACTACGACATAATCTTTTACCAATAGGCTTTTCCAAATATCTGCTCCTACTTAGTATTTCAAAGATAGCCTCATATACTCTATACCTCACAAATTACGCAAGGGCTAATATTCGGTCTTATCAAGTAGAATAAACAAACGAATAACAAGGGATACATTTATTAATGAATTAACATGTAATACAAAGTCGACAACAGTGCAGGTATCTTTTTCTTTATCACCCAAATCCATGAAATTCCCGAAAGTAGATATTATCTGAAAAAGAAGATAAGAATTATACAGATGTAGATATTGTTACCAGTGTAAACACAATAATTAACCATTAAATATGCTTAAAATGACAAAATAATGATTTCAACTGTATATAATTATGTTAGTCAACATTTTTCAATAATGCTAAGTTGATATTCCATCTGCCTGCTAACATCTACTTTATGCCATCAAATAAGGAAATACTATGCATATATAATTTTTATGTATTTCTGCAGATTTTTCTTAAAGGAATACATGTGGAGGAGCCCTGTCAGCATTTAGCCACAGTACACAACAAAGTAACTGAAATAATTACCAAAACGAGCTGTCCCACCTCATCATGTCCATGTGTAATCCATTAAACTGCAAAATAAATTCACAAAAAGTCTTTATAACATATTTCTTCAAGTAATTAGACATTTTCTGAACGGAAAAATACGTTATTTTCAAGAAACTGTAAACTGCCTGTGACCTACGTCCGGATAAGAACACCACCATATGCTCTTTCTGCTAAATAGGCCGCATTTCATCCACTTTTAGCAGGAATATAGGTAGAAAAGTGTGAAAAACAACGAAAAATGACCTGACCTTGACGTTCAATATCCAATATCCTGATGACGAGCTAGTATAAACCAGTGATTTCTTTGAGCTCGCTTCTTGATTGTGAGGTAGAGGTTCCAGATCTTCGGTGAGCTTCTGCGTAGTAAGTCCCGACACTCGACTGCTTTAGCTCTGGTAGACTCCAGGAGGAGTGGTGCGGGGATTGGTCGAGATGTGGTTTGTAGTATGCAGTATGTTAGGACTGTATTGCTGCCGTGAATGGAGTTTGACCTAACTCCCCTTGGTCATTCGGTGTAGTCATAAAAGCAGAATAGTAATAATAATAATAATAGGTTGTAGTGTAGATAATATAGGTTGAGATAAGTGGAATAATAAAGGTGACCTAAGGAAAAGATAGAGTGAGAGAAGGCAGAATAGGTCGTGGGGATTTAGTTAGTACGCTTATTCATTGACAGTTTGGTTTCAAATTTTATGAGGATAAGCCATTGAGACACAAACCTTGCATTTCTGCATGATTGTCTAGCTTCCGCTTAAAAATCTCCAGAGATGGCGCTGTAGTCACGGCCGCCGGTAAAGCGTTCCAGAGACGGCAAACACGAAGCGAAAAGAAATGTGATCGCACTCGAGTCTTTGGTCTCTGGTGTGCTATCCTTAGCGGGTTACCTCGTGGAAGCCTATAATCGCTTAATGGCAGGATGCTTTTATTTGGGTGGGCCTGGTCATTTAGGATCTTGTAGACGGTGATGAGGTCTCCCCTGTGCCTACGGTAACTGAGTGTGAAAAGACCTAATTTCTTTAGTCTTTCCTCATATGATTTGTTGCGGAGGCCGATCACCCATTTTGTCGCTCGTCTCTGGACACTTTCTAGAATGTTAGCATCCCTTTTGAGTAGCGGAGGTGCAATGATATTATGCACCTCAAGGTGTGGCCTCACATATGCCTTGTATAGCCTTAAGAACAGTTCGGGAGTGAGAGCTCCCAGCTGCCTGTGCATAAAGTGTAATGTTGCGTAGGCTTTGGCGACGTCCCTCGAGTAATTTCCACTGGTGTCTAGCTTTTCTGTTAGAATAAGACCTAGATCACGCTCTGATGGAACACAACTCAAGTTCTGGCCACCAAGGGTGTAATTTACACTCTGTGACCTGCCGGAATGAAGCTGCACTACTTTGCACTTCTTTAGATTGAAAGGCATTCCGTTAGCCAAAGCCCAATTTCCCAGAGTTTGCAGGTCAGCCTGCAATCTATCTGAGTCTTCCGATGAGTTTATTGCTCTCCAAATCTTTACGTCGTCAGCGTAAAGAAGCGCAGAGCAGTTTAGTTGGGGGGGCAGGTCATTGATAAAAATCAAAAACATCAACGGCCCTAGGATAGAACCCTGAGGAACCCCTGATGCCGAGGTGTGCCAGGATGATCGGATGCGGTTGACTTTGGTGCAGAATTCTCTCTCGCCTAAGTAATCTGTCAGCCATGCGAGAAGTGCTCCAGAAACTCCCGCCTTGCCTATTTTGTGAAGGAGCAGACCATGGTGAACTGTGTCGAATGCTTTCGCAAAGTCGAGAAAGATCACGTGGGCTGGTACCTTTTTGTCCCAGGATAGTGTCCAATCGTTCCAGGCTAGTAGAAGATTCGTCACGCAGGATCTTCCCCTCCTGAAACCGTGCTGTGCTTCGTGAAGAAGGTTAGTCCCATCGAAGTATTTTCTCATGTGGTCGTCAATGAGACTTTCCAATATCTTCGATACCACTGGAAGTAGAGCAACTGGTCTGTAACTGGTCACATTCTGCCGGTCACCACCCTTGAAGATAGGGGATAGGATTGCACGTTTCCATTCACATGGAAGTTTCCCTACATCAAGGGAGTGTTGGAACAGATCACTTAGGGGTTGACAGAGACTTTCTGAACACTGCTTCAGGACAGATGGTCTGATGCCATCACAACCTGGAGACTTTCCCGAAGCCAACCTTCCCAATTTTGCAAGTACCATAGCCGGGGTAATTTGAAATGTCCCCAGCAGGTTTTCGTGTGTTGGTTTTGCGATGTAATCTGGATGTTCTGTAGGGGTAATATCCTCGTTACTATTTAGTTGCCTGTGAAAGGCTAGGCTGAATGTCTCTGCCATTTCAAGACTAGTAAGAGATTTCCCATCAGAACCCACTAGATTGCATGCTCCCTGGTTGGTCGGTTTTCTTTCGGCCATAAACCTGTATAGGCTTTTGGGGTTCACGAGAAGCTTATTGGCGAGGTCTCCCTGAAATGTCCTTCTATCGCTCCGGACTCGTATGTTACATCGATTCCTGAGTTCAAGGTACACTTCATATTCGGGTTGACTCTTCGATCGTCGCCACGCGAACCAGGCTTTACGCTTTGCCTGCAGAAGGCGTTGTGTCCCTCTTTTCAGCCATGATCGTTGCTTCCTAGCTTTTGGTGAGACTAAAGGAACAGTGTCTGAGACCGCCTGGTGAATGATTTCCTTTACCACTCTCCAGTGTTCTTCTACTGTTAGCTCTGTCCATTTTTTAGGCCAGTTTGCTTCAGACAGAAGTCTTCGCATTTTGGTAAAGTTGGCTTTGTTATAACACAGATAGGGCTGTGTATTGTCCCACTGTAAGCGCTCGCGGAGGACTATGTCGAATACTATGACCGCGTGGTCACTACTACCTATGGGAGTCGTGATCTGAACGTTTTCCACTAGTAGCTGGTCACTAGTGAGCACGTAATCCAGTCTAGAAGACTTCCCATCAGGGCCCCATCTAGTATCCATCTTGACATTTTCAGTGAATCCAGCCTTCCTGATGGTATGCAGCAGATTTCGATCAAATCTATCATGGGCTTTTCCCGACACCAAGTTAAGAGATGGGGCATTGAAGTCACCAGCTATGACAATTTGATCATAACCCATGTCTTGAGTCGCTGAAATTGTATTTAGCAGTACCTGGTTGTGGTCTGCTCCACATGAAGGTGATCGATAAATGCTGCCCACTAGATATTTGCAGTACCCAACGGTGAAGTGGCACCATATGGAGTCAGGGAGCTCTGTGAGGGGAGGGTCCGTCGCGTGAACACATCTGAGCTGTTTGTCGACGTATATGGCGACTCCACCTCCTTCTTTCAGGTCCCTATCTCGCCTGACTAGGACCATATCATTTATACTGACTTCGCTGTCTGCCACCGTAGGGGTTAGCCAGGTTTCCGTCAGTATTATGATTTTGGAGTTTAGTTGTGATTGTAGGTGTCTAAGTTCAGCTATTTTGCCTCTTAGCCCTCTCACATTACTATACAGGCAACTGGTAGTCAGTCTCACCACTTCCCCGTATTGGGGGGTAGTTGACTTGATATTGGCTATCGGTTGAGGAGTTATCCTACGAACTAGTTGGCCGATTCCCCAGGAACCGGCCTGTTGGCGTTTTTTTCTTCTAGTTCAGTTGGAGCACTCGGATGACACTGGCTATCATCGTCCGTGCTGCACCGCTGTAGTGTGACTAGGGGTTGAGGATTTTCTTTTACTACGCTTTGTTCTCTCCTTTGAGTGCGAGGCCGGCTCTCGCAGCAGCGAATGTGTTTGCTGACCTTGTCCTTGGTCTCGTACCATCTATGGAGAGCGGTAGTCAACTGGTCTTGGGAGCTGAACTTGACAGCTAACAGACGTGGCGAGTTAATTGACATAAGATGAGTGGGTCGAGGCAGTCTATAAATAGAGACAGCCCCTGAACTTCCCAGGGCCATCTGGGATGCTAACCATCTCCATTGTTGTACATCATG